TTACATATTTTTGCCGAATTTTCTTAGAGGAGGAACGACGCGTGCAAAGTAACTGACGTGTTATCTCAGTCAAAGTAGGAAGATGAGTCAATTACTTACCCATTTTGGATTTATGTTTTAATTAGGTTTTTCTTTATTTTTGGGCTGCTGTAAAAGCCCAGTTAGGGTAGGAACATACGTGTTGTGTTTTATTTAGGAAGCTTCACTAATACACCCAAAATACGGGCTGAAATTATTTTAGAAAAACCCCACATGGAATGCACTTTAGAAGCACACCTCAAACTCATAATACAAACAAATATGAGTTAATTATGTTTTAGTCCATATATTTCATGTTAGATTGTGAGGGCCTGATTTAAGTTTCGAATTCGCACATGATCCTCAAAATTTTAGGGAATTGCCCTGTGTGTAAGCATGGGTGGAACTATCATATGGGGTTTAAAAAAAAACCTATATATTAAATATAATCCAAAATGTAATAACTTATTAAAGTTCAAAAAAAGTTTAATTCTTTATGAATTTAGTTGCAAGGTAGCAATAAAAATAAAATAAGTACACTTTTAATTATGTTGTTGAACATATTTTCATTTCGATACTATGTGTTTTTGGTTGCATTTAATATGTATTTGTTTTATGTTAAAGCTTATTGGAAATTAGTCAATAGAGCTATGAATAACATGATTTATATAATTTAATGTATATTCTGTTTCTAGAAAGAGTACATAAATGTAAGTATAAAAAAATTATTATTAGATTTTAAGCTAATAACTTTAGCTAGCCCACCCTTTAAAAAATTCTTGGTTCCGCTCTTGTGTGTAAGAACTCATGAAACAACCAAGTGTTCTCTCATTTTGCCAAACCAGAAATTGTCCCTAGGTCTCGGTAGTAAGGAATCCAAAATATAATTCTCAGTATTAACACAAATGAACTTCATATCTCAAACAAGAAATTAACGAAACAAATACGAAAAAAGCAAAGAAAAATACATTGCAAATTAACAAAAACCAAAAACTAAGAGAGATAGATAAATGTTGGCTCAGAGCCTTTGGAGCAGAGAAATATATCAAACGCCACATTATTCCTTGATGGAATACAAAGGCCCAAGGGTGGAGTAATTCTTTTTAAAATATTGTATATATTCGAACTAATGCAATGCCTTGTACTGTAGGGGGTGGTCTTTGTCCACAAGCTCCTTGGGTACGTGTGTTTCTCCTTCTTTGTATGAAAATAGTCCGAACGAGTATCGTACGTCGTTCTCCCTCAAGCTCACTCGATGCTTACAAGCTCGTACTCTGTCGTTGCTCCAAACTTAGGATATGATGGTGATGGTGCTAGCAATATGTGTGGTGAATGGAGTGGCTTACAAGCGTTATTTCTCAATGATTGTCCATATGCATATTATATACACTACTTTGCTCATCGTCTTCAATTAGCTTTAAATGGTGCAGCTAAAGAGGTAGCACTCGTTTGGAGATTTTTTTCAAGGGTAATGCTAGGCTTACCACATTTTTCATACCACATTCATACCACCTCTCTCTAATAGAGGTGGAGCCCACCAATACAATGGGGCCCACCTCTATTAGAGAGGTGGTATGAATGTGGTATGAAAAATGTGGTAAGCCTAGCATTTTCCTTTTTTCAATGTTGAATAACATTGTGAATTTTGTTGGTGCTTCTGCCAAACGCCATTCTGAGTTAAAATTAACCCGACAAGCTGAAATTGAAGATTTACTAACTGCTGGAAGACTTGGGACAGCTAAAGGGGCTAATCAAATTCATTGTTTGCAACGACCTGGAAGTACTCGTTGGGGTCACATTTTAATTCTGTTTGTACCTAATAAATCATGGTCGTATACTGACCAAAGGGGTCTTCCCCCTCGGCCTCAGCACCTGTGCGCAATCCAAAATGCAGCGCTTTTACCGACGTCAAAACAAAGGAAAAGCTGCAAAGAGATAGTCATCTCGCCCTTACAACCACGGTATCGTCAGGTCGAGGCCGAATGACGAAGGGGACACGGCCGAAGATATTAAGAGTCAAATCGTCACATGGCAGCAGGGTCCCACACTTCATTTAATGAAGTAACGCCTCTGACTAGCAAACACACTAGTCGCAAAAGGGCATTTAATGCACGAGGGAAGAAGGGAAGTGACTAAAGTCAGGATTTGGTGACAGAAATCAGAGTGGTTAGGCGCCAACATGCTTACAAACATTCTTATAAATTGAGGTCAGATCACCAACCACCAAACAAGGGCATTAAATGCGTCCCCACGGCCAGAAGCGCAGAACCCACGATCAGGGCGGCGGCCGAGATTTACCAGGATTCATGGGGTCACACCACCATGCTTCACGATCCCAAATGTCGATTGGACTACCCACTTGCTCTGATCAGGCTCCACTATGCGGATTTTCAACCTCGATTACTCCTCCAAGAACTCTTCCTATAAATACCAAGTTCAAGCTACATTCAAAGGGTTCAAACACCAAACCAAAGCCTCCCACGGAGCAAATTATATTTTCCTGTAATGCACTTTCAATATCTTTATTTGCTTTCCTAGGAGTAGTGTTAGTTTGTAAGGAAAATCCGTTCATCAATATATCATACGACCCTTGATTTTCAAGGCGCCGGAGCACCATCTCTGTTACTCATTCATTCACCCCATATATCATACGACCGTAGCTCACTGAGCAACGCGCCGGAGCAACGCCCAAAACCCACCATCCACACCACCACTAAACGGCCTTGTAGCTCAGGCCGTGACCCTGACGGCCGAGATCAGTTCTTCTCTCGGCCACAATCGTTCGATTAGAAGTCGAATTCAAACAGGCGCACCAGTAGACCATTTTATCCAAACCGCATCTCGACGCACGGTAGACTGTGCTGGCACGCCCACACATAACCGCACCGCATCCAAAAGAAGGAAGCCATGTGTTAACGCATATCCCCTCGGCCCGGAACCCCAGGCCGTGGGATTTGTGCAGCCAACAAATTCTATTAGGAGTTTGATTGATTTATTTGGTGCAACCAAGACACTTCTAACGGATATCAGTCATAATGGACCTACCTCACAATTTCGTGGCGAAGCAGAAGGTATTAAAATATCTATGTTATCTTTTGACTTTGTTTTGGCCTTGAAATTGTTGGACAAAACTATGAGATTCACCGATTTTCTTTGTCAAGAACTTCAAAGAAAATCTCAAGACATTTTAAAGGCTTTGAATTTGGTTGCAAGTACAAAAATGGAGCTTGATGAGTTGAGAAATAATGGTTAGAATGATTTTATACAGAGTGTGCAATCATTTTGTGAAGAACATGATATTAATATGCCTGATATGGGTGCCCGTCATACAATAGGCACTCGCCGTTCTTGTCAACAAAGAGATTGTATCACAGTTGAGCATTATTATCATATTGATATATTCAATGAGGTAATAGATTATCAGTTGGGGGAGTTAAATACTAGATTTCCAGATGGGACTGTGGAACTCCTTTCTCTTAACTCAACATTAGATCCTCGTGATGCTTTCAAGCGATTTAACATTGATGATATATGCACTCTTGCTGAGAAATTTTACCCTTTAGATTTCACTACAACTGAGTTGCATGCTTTAAATCAGCAATTGGGATTTTATAAGATTGATATGGATCGCATTCAAGCCTTCAAGAATATTGATTCCATCCCTATATTACTTGAGCACTTAATTGAGACAAAATTAGCAGAAACATACTGCTTGATTGACAGATTGATTCGTTTGGTGCTAACTCTTCCTGTGTCTACAACAACAACAGAACGAGCATTTTCATGTATGAGACTTATTAAAAATCGACTTCGGAATAAGATAGGTGATGAGTTTCTTGCTGATTGTATGCTACTTCAGAGTGAAAGAGAATTAGCTTATAATATAGATAATGAATCAATAATTGGTGATTTTAATGCTGTGAAGACTCGAAGGGTGCAACTTATATAAGTGCTATTTAAGGGGTAAGGCTCATTATGTCCCCCCCATATATTTTTTTGTTATCAATGAAATTTACTTGTACCGTTGAGTTTTCAATATGTTTGTACGTAAGGTAAATTTAGCCCATGCCATTTTGAAATCCTGGGTCCGTTCGTACCGTTGAGTTTTCAATAGGTTTGTACGTAAGGTAAATTTAGCCCACACAATTTTGAAATCCTGTGTCCGTCCCTGCATACAAATATTCCGGCTAAGGTTTAATACGCACGTTACAATACAAAATTAACAATATTGATATATCTGTTAGCTAAATATTCAAGTTTCATATAATTTATTTTGAAATATCTGTTGCAATTGGAGAATTTAGCCTTCTCATATTCACTTGATCACTTGTCGATCTTTGTAGGCAATGGTGTTGTATTCCTAAGAGGACACAAATTAATGTGCAAACAACCAATTAAAAATACCCGCAAGTGCACGAATCTAACGAAGTATAGATTATGTAAGTACGGGGTCGATCCCACGAAGAACTTGTCGGTTTCCTATAAGTTCTAGTTTGAGTACGTAAAGTACACTTAATTGACACACCACAAATGCACAAATGCAAAATGGAAACTAAAAATAAGTAAAGAAATGTAAAAGAAATGAAACAACACAAGAAAACTAAAGAAAAACACAAACAACATTTTCTATCACCATTTTATCACCACTTTATCACCTGTGAACAGTGCCGTGAACAGTGAACAGTGGCGACCGGTCGTTTTTTACAGAATCGTTTTCCAAATTTTGACGTGATGAGCGACCGGTCATCAGGTAAAAGCGACCGGTCTTTTTGCACAGAGTCGAAATTCTCTGCTTTTCAGTTTCGACCTCTGTCCAGTGTTTTGCCTATAACTTTCCAACCGTACGTCCAAAATTCACGTTCTTTACACGGTTGGATTCAGCACACAAAAACGAAGAACATAACGCGGACCAAAAGTCCAAAACAGTTACGAAAATAAACAGAATTCAGTAAACAAGACACACAACGTATCAAACACACAACTCACACACACATTGGGGGGGGAGAGGCATAGTTGAGCATGAAGTCAGTGTAAGAAGGAACATCATACTCCGATTTCCTAGCACCGCTAAGAAAATAGGTGTTAGAAATATCGTTGCTGCCCGCTACCACAAAAATCAAACTGTTTGCTATGATGAAGTTTGTTCTCTCTTCTCCAGCAATTCCTTTCAGCTTTTCTACGTACTCTTGGAACTGCTTCAGTTGGTCAGATAGTGATGCAACTCGCTATATATTTCACCAAAAATAACAAACAGCGACACCAGTGAGTGGGAATTTTCAGAATGTGTGAGGGAAAAGAAGAAAGGGTTAAACAAGTGTAAGTACCGAGAGTTGTGCTGTCAAAGGATCATAGCCTGCACCACCAGCAGCTATTACTACACCAGTAAGGAGATCCTCTGGCTGCAGGGTTGGATCCAAATATGCTGGCAACAGCTCTTTGATTCCAAGTGCTTCCACTGAACATGAAAAAACACAACATATCGTCACATGAATTAAGTACTCTGTTAATTGTTTTGACGTCAATTGCGCTTCGACTGAGGAAAAGTGAAATATATGAACATTTGGTTCGGAGGAGAAGTTACATGTAAGCAAAGCTGGAGTTGGGTTTGCAAATCAAGTTGACTCCTAATAATATACTCATAATGCAATCAATAATACCAATTAGCAATGCTGGATGAAATAATGAGGAGGATGAGAACCTATGAAGTCCGAGGGAACCTTTCCATTGGAAAATCTTCCTGTTGGCATTCCTCCCTTGAGGTCTTTCCCATATGGAAGGAAATTGCAGCGTGCAAATGTTTTGAAATTGTTGTTGTTGTTGCCCGTATCAACAATCGAATCTCCGAATATAATCACTGCCGGAACACTTACATTCCCCGGTAGCTTTATTGTCGTAGCTGCTGTCTCTGTAGTATTGCTTACAATGCACAAGAAAAGCAGGAAAAATATGTTATTGTAAGACAGAAATATGCATATAGCGTTTGACGTGGTCACTGGAACACGTGACCACTGTCTCTGTCTGAACATGTTATGTCCACACATAATCCTGGGTTTGGATCTCTCCAATCCAACTACCCAAATACACAAAGAAAAAATATTGGGGCAAATTTTTCGAGGATTTATGTTCTTCTCCAAAGAGAAGGTGTATATATATATATAAATGTTTTCAAAGGTGAGGCGTATAGGTGAGGCGTTTTTAGTAGCGCTATGCAATGCGTAAGCCTTAAAACGTTGAGGCGTAAGCCTTTTGAACATTAATTTATTTTAATAAGAAAAATTTATGAATAATACAATAGGATTAAATTGTACAACTAATTCTTATTCAACCATAACAATCTTTTAAATATAATCAAATATAAGTACTAATTGTCATTCAAAGCATAATATCCCAAAACATAAAATATTTATTCAACATCAAAACAAAAACATAATTCACTCATCCCACTCCTCAACACTAAGATCATTCAAACTAGCATCACTATCATATTGATCATCTGTATCAATATGAAAAGGATATTTCCCACTATCAAATGTTGAAGGATCTTTATCTATCTCATCATCTTCATCCATAAGCATCGCTCTTATGGACTTGCTTTTGACTTTCCTCTTACCTGTACATATGAACAATGAATTAAAATTATAAAATTTAGTGGTAATGAATTAAACATGAATTGTAACTTTCACTCCATGATTTTTTTTCCATACTTACTTGAGGTTTCACCATCTTTTCTCTTTTTTGAAGCTAACGAGGAAAGAAGAACATCATCATCAACAATAAGATCATCATCAATAATAGGATCTTGAGTCCTAACATGAATATTCCCTCTCTCTTGAGTCCTAGGATCACCAATAGGCTATCCACAGAAATAGGCACTCGAGTATGTAGATCTGTTTCATAATGTTCAGTGGGCATATTTCAGATGACATTAACATCATATAATTCTTGAGAATTAAGCCAAGTAAGATCAGTTGGTAGAATTGGTTCTTCAACCTCAGCTATCCATTCATCATCGGACTCAATTTCATTCACCAATATTGGATCAATATCTGACCTCCTTCTAATACTTCTCTGTCTTAATGCCGTATTATACTTCACATATACTAGAGCATTGAGCTTTTGATGTTCAAGTCTATTTCTTTTCTTTGTATGAATCTAAAATGAATATAAACATACAAAATTAGATTTAGAAGCATCAAAATTTGAACAATAAATTAACCGAAGAACTTTACCTGCTCAAATGTGCTCCAATTCCTCTCACACCCAGATGCACTACAAGTAAGGCTAAGGACCCGAATAGCAAACTTCGTCAACTCAGGTGTGTCCCTTCCAAAACGCTTCCACCAATTTGCTAAAAAAACAAAACAAATCCATCTAATTAAGTTTAACATTTATTTCAAGTGGTCATTATACTCGAATGAAAATGAAAAAGTAAAGATTATAACTTGGAGTTTGTAGTTTCCTTGAATTCACAGCAAGACGACTTCCAAACTCTCCTTTTGCCTCATCATACAAGTCCAACTGAATATCAGCAGCCATACGATCCTCAAAAGACAACATCCTAGTCATGCAATCTTCCAATCCCTTCCTCACTTCATCAGCATTAGAAAAGGTTTCTTCATAACGTAGTTGAGGGTTCAAATAATAACCAGCAGCATGTAAAGGTTGATGAAGTTGTGGGCCCCATCTTTCGTCTATTCTTCTCCAAATTGGTTTATACCTTCTTTCAACTTTTCCACAATTAAAAGCAATCTTCTCTTTTGCAACATCCATTAACTCATAAATAAATCCCATAGCAGGTCTCTCTTCTCTGAATCAACTTCTCTCAAAACCGATACTAATGGAATAACACTTTTGATGCAAAAAGCAACATGGGACCAAAAATTAACATCATATAGTACAGTTGAGCGAGCCCTAATACCTTAGTCATGTTGAACAAATGGTCCATTGTGCCATTCTCTAGAAGAAAACATTGCCTGAAGAGGTTGCTTTTGCTTATAGATGCTTTGAAGAGTAAGATAAAAAGTGGCAAACCGTGTGATTGCAGGGCGAATTATCTCTTTGTTTTTCGTGAAAGATCTCATCAAAGCAAGAACCCATGTATGCCCATAAATAAACTTCACTACTTGCTTGGCTAGTCTAATTGTATCTTCAAAAACTTTCATTTTGCTAATATCTTCTAACATCAAATCAATACGGTGGGCAGCACATGGAGTCCACCATAACTTCTTCCTCTTCTCCATAAGTTTCACTCCAGCATTCTTATAATTGGAAGCATTATCTGTTATTACTTGAATGACATGCTCTTCTCCAACTTCTTTGACAACATCATCTAAATATTTGAACAATAGCGTTCCATTTTTTATGGAATCAGATGCATCAATAGATTTCAAAAACCAAGTACCTGTAGGGCTATTCACAAGAAAGTTTATTAGCACTCTATTATTAGCACTCTTTTTTTTTCACATGCTCAGGAACTTTCTTACATGGTTGCATACCATGATGAGTTTGACCTAAATGATGCTTAAGTCTAGAAATTCCTCCACTGCATCTTTGATCACAAAATGCGCATCTCAAGTATTTTTTTCCCCCTCTATTTCTTTTGCATACTTTAGCGCAGGATCTTTTCATTCATAGCTATATAACAATACCATTAATATTTCTAAGATACAAATATGATGCATGTACGTCAAATTTCTATTATACCATTGTCTTCAGGGTTTGTAGCATAGCCAATCGCCAAGCCTTCACTGGCGGCATTCGAGGTAGGACTTTTCAAAAGAACTTTGCACTTTGATTTCAGTGGGGAAATCAAACAACTCGCCCAACATACCAAAGAAGGTGTTGTGAAGCTCCGGAGAAACTTTGCCGGGTAGTATTGCGATGAAACAGCCTAGCTCTTCGAGTGCATGGCAGATGCTTTTGCTTATAGAGAGCCAAGAACTCGTCCCCGCGAGTCTTCGTCGGAGAAATCTACCACTGGAATTTTGGCCACTGTTTGGGTGCCCATGCTTATGTATACTTTTGAGGGATGGATATACCAAATGAACCAAAATGATATTTATAGAGTAGTTAAAGGCTATGTATTTTCAGATTTTTTTTCATAAATAATTATGTATACGTACATGTCTGATTTGCGTGGCTGATATGCATCGGCAATGAAGATTTTATAAAGAATAAATTTCGAAATTGAATATATATTATAACAATATGTCACTTGGATCTTGAACAAAAAAAAAAACATCTTCATCAAGAGTTTGCATTCATTATTTCATTTCTTTTAACTAGATGTCCTAATAGAAGAACAATTCAATTGAACAAATGTTTATGATTTATAGAAATTTATTCATGAAAACAACTAGCTAGCTACTTTTCTTTTTATTATATACTTAGCTTACATTATTACAAGTTTTTTAGTGAAATCTGACAAGCAAGAACAAACAAGTCATCATAAAATTTTATGCATATGGCGAATATAACTAGTTAACTGCTTTCCTTGATTTATATTAATTCTTTGGCCTGACTTTCCTAGCTCTATTTATGCTCACCCAAAATCATTCAGCCAAGATCGAGTGAGGGCAAAGCATGTTGTCCTTTTTTACATACGTAAATGCAGGCGTCACCATTTGATGATCTAACGGCACCCAGTCTTCTAATTTAAATATCACAAACAATAGTTGTAAAATGAAAAAATGATTTATTAGCTAAAGATTGTTTGGCCGAGCAAAGGACTTCTTGGCCAAGGGCTCTTTACTATGCCTTATAGGCAAAGACTTTATACCTTCATTAATAAGTAGATGAAACAAACTCTGTATTTGAAGGTGAGCCCTGAAAACATAGAAACAAATAACAATAATGAAAACAAATTGGAACTGCAAGGCAAGACCAATCTGAAAAGCTTCAAAATATAAGTACTATATATGATGCTAAATTCAAATCCTTACAAGCCAAAGACATTGGTCCCTTTCCTTGCATTGTGCCTTGCTCGTCAAATATAAGAAGCTTTCAAACGTGAAGGTTTTTTATAATACTGTTACTGTAGGTCGAAAACGAAGCCTACTGCAAAATTAAGGGCAAGAAATTCAAAAAGTTCCGTTGCCGGGAATCGAACCCGGGTCTCCTGGGTGAAAGCCAGATATCCTAACCGCTGGACGACAACGGATTCTTGTTAAGTAAACCCGCATTAAAAATATAAGTACGCATAAACGGAAAATAATCAGAAAACCGTATCGAGGTTTTAATAATGTTAGCTGCAGCTTTGCACTCAATAATTCTATAATGAGGGTTTATATGTGGCTCTTAGGCGAGGCCTTATCTCTTAATCATTGGATCAAATTGGTATAAGCCCTCACTATAGGATCAAATTGGTATAAGCCCTCACTATAGAATGACTTGCTTCGCTTGCACTACATAATGTGCCAAACAACAAACCCATCCAAATACATAAATCAAACTTCCACTTCAACTTCCACTTCCATAACCCAATTTTTACATCTGGTGGCTGTGGCTGCTATAAATTTTTTGAATGTTGCGCTTGTGTTACACAAAGAACAGAACGGAGTTCCAGATCAGAAGTAATTTCTGTGCACGGTGAACAGATCTAATTTTCAAAACAATAAAATGAGAACCTACAATTATTTGATATGATTGATTTTCAGTATAATACACAAACATGTTCAGAAAACCAAATTCATAATTAAATCAACATTTTACATCATGCATACAAAATTGGTAAGCATATCTTCAACTTAGTGTTAGAAGCCTTGCTACCACTCAAAGCAATTAAGCAGCACACTGTCAAATCTTTTATCCCCTGTTGCAAATCGGGGAAGCCAAAATAGCTTTATGTTACTACCAAAAAAAAAAATTACACAACGATCAGCTTGTTTCCAAAATCAGTCATTTTTCGAAGATTTCTTTGATGCTTCATTGCTCCTCGCATTTAGTGACTGCAGAAAGATAAGGAGAAACAAAGAAGTTGACATAGATGATGGATGTTCATACGAATGACTCCACAAGAAATTTTTTAAATCAGAAGGCATTGTCATAAAGAAAGGACAGAGACATGAATAGCATATGAATTTATGAAGAAAAGCAGAAGGGGCATAACAGAAATTTTGACAGTCACTGGATCAAAACTCAAATGAAAACTAGTGGATTTTGACAACACTTTTAACAGCCCCTTCAAGTAGTTGCCCTGTGTTCACGTACTATTTACCAGGGTCTGGTCTGACCTCCATATAACCTGATAAAAACCCAAACAGAAAACCAAAATAAACCAGGTATTTATAATCGCACAAGTTAACACTGAAGCACAGAAATGGCGAAAATAAATATCTTTCATTCTGAAACTTTTTTTAGAACCCACAGCCCCTGAAAAACACATAGGCAGTTTAAGGCAGAAGCATAGAAGAAACAGTGAAAACAAATATCTTCTGTCATCCTTGGGACATCATACGCGATATGGCACATCGTACCAGCTAGCCCAATCAGTTTTGTTACCCTTAGAACCCCAGATGTAAAATAACCCACTCGAAACATCAAATTATTCATAAGGTAAACATCAAATTATTCATAAGGTAAACATCATAAACTTCATGAAATACAATGTCTGGCTTCAATACCACTGAGAAGAGAACTATTATTGAAACTGAATAACCAACTCTGGAAGAATATGGTAACAACATTTATCTTAACTAAGGGGCATAGTCGTAATTAAGCCAAATTAAATTTTGAATTAAGATTTATACATTAGTTTTGGTCCCTTTTATCAAAATTAAATCATCATCAGAAGTGAGCTCCTCCACAACTACGTGTATCCAAGAAGTAGCAAATCAAATGTTTCCTCCACTTCCATATCAGTGGAAGTTGAAACTGACAGATCCAACAAACCGATAAAAGTAATAAAAAAGAAGCTGATACTGGCCACACACTTTATTAGTGCAAACACACATAGCAATCATAGAATGAATGTATCCGCTAATACTGATCTTTCAACCTTTAATTTCAAATAATTTATATGACACCATATATGCTTCAACCTTCAAGAGACAGTAATAAACAGTGCTAAACAGACGAAAGTGGTTTATGCATTGTAGGACAATTTGAAACAATGCATCCATTCTTTGTTACTAGAAACAATCTAATGTTTGAAGGGTAAATAATGACAGCTTCTGAGAACATGGGCCGCAGACATCATAGTTTAATCAAACAAATTAATAAATTGAAGCGATTGGAAGATTAACATTACATTTGAGACTGGTCATTACTCTCCCTAAGAAAATTATTGATGTGTGTATAACATATTCAATTACCAATTCGCAGTTCCCACACAAGTAATGTTCTAAATTTTACTAAATTGGCTTTTAGTTTATGAAGAGTGACACTGACACGGTACAGATATGCTCAGATTCTCATTTAAAATTATCCAAACATAACACTGTCTTCTTTTTATTCCCTAATCCGATCCGAGTATAACCAAGCACCCCAAACTTAAACCATAAACCTTCGTAGGAAACTGACAAAAGCACAGTTTTTATGCATAATCTAGAGCAGGAAACATCAAGAAATTGAACATTTATAGCAGGAAATTGCACAAAAATAAGCATTTACCTCTTCTCAAGATTTCTCAAATGCACACTGCACCACTAGTTTCTATTCCCAATCACTAGCCTCAAAACGCAAACAAGTGACAAAGAGGACCGGTTTGGCTGATCGATGGGAATCAGAACAAAATCTACCCACCTCAACCCCCTCATAACTCCTATTTGATTGCAGAGAAAATCTAGAAGCAG